GTATATAACGGGGTATCGGGGTTTACAGGGAGGGGTATATAACGGGGATGTTTGATCCTCCAGCCGCTGGAGGCGCTGTGTGAGCTCCCGATCGGTGAGGAAGTGGCGGGTCCCGGGGCGGAGGAAGAGCAGGGGGAAGAGGCCGGGAACAGGCAGCGGTTACCATTGAAGCGCACGGCCCGCACTGCGCGCTGTCCGCTCGGGAAACTCCGAAGCCGTGTCCTCGGGAAACGCGGGGCCTGAGGCCGAGGGGCCGGAAACGCCATAACCGTCTGACTTCCGGTTCCGGGTGAAGGGTCAGCGGCAACATGGCGGATCCGCGGCGGCCGAACAAGGTTCTGAGGTAAAGATCCCGGAGAGCGAATGGATCCCTGACACAGGGAGAAAGTCACAGCATGGAAACATACCCTTCGGTCCAAGTCGTCTATGCTGACCAGAAATCATAAATAAATCTAGTCCTAATGCTTGCGTTAGCCCATATCCCTCTAAACCCTTCCTATTCACAAACCCATCCGGTTGCCTTTTAAATGTTGTAATTGTACCAGCCACCATCACTTCCCCTGGCAGCTCATTCCATACACGCACCACTCTGTGTGTGAAAGAGTTGCCCCTTAGGTCCCTTTGAAATCTTTCCCCTTTCACCTTAAACCTATGTATGCCCTCTAGTTTTGGACTCTCCTACACTGGGGAAAAGACTTTGACTATTCATCCTATCCATGCCCCTCATCGTTTTATAAACTTCTATAAAGGTCACCGCTCAGCCTCTGATGCTCCAGTGAAAATAGCCCCAGCCTGTTCAGCCTCTCCCTTTAGCTCAAACCCTCCAACCCTGGCAACATCCTTGTAAATATTTTCTGAACCCTTTCAAGTTTCACAACATCTTTCCTATCGCAGGGACACCACATTTGAACACAGTTTTCTAAAAGTGGTCTGACAAATATCCTGCACAGCCGCAACATGACCTCCCAACTTCTATACTCAGTGCACTGAGTCAAGCATACAAAATGCTTCTTCACTATTCTATCTAGCCGCAACTCCACTTTCAATGAACTATGAACCTGCACTCCAAGGTCTCTTTGTTCAGCAACACTCCTCAGGACAGTACCATTAAGTATATAAGTGCTGCTCTACTTTGCCTTTCCAAAATGCAGCACTTCACATTTATGTAAATTAAACTCCATCTGCCACTCATTGGCCCATCTGATCAAGGTCCCATTGTATTCTGAGGTAACCTTCGCTATCCACTACATCCCCAATTTTGGTGTCATCTACAACCTTATTAACCATACCTCCTATGTTCACATCCAAATCATTTACATAAACGATGAAAAGCAGTGGACCCAGCACCGATCCTTGTGGCACACTGCTGGTCATAGGCCTCCGGTCTGAAAAGCAACCCTCCACCACCACCCTCTGTCATCTACTTGTGAGCCGGTTCTGTATTCAAATGGCTCGTTCTCCTTGTATTCCACGTGATCTAACCTTGCTAACCAGTCTACCTTGCGGAACCTTGTTGAACCCCTTACTGAAGCCGATGTAGATCAGCTCCACCGCTCTGCCCTAATCAATCCTCTTTGTTACTTCAAAAAACTCCATCAGAGTTGATCCCAAAGAGAGAAGATGGGGGATCCGAGAGAGTGGATCCCTGAGGGGGAGTGTGGGCCCAGGCAATGGTGTGGATCTAGGAGAACTAAGTCTCTGACATAATGGCCCCTGCATATAACACTGTAGAATACTGATGGGGACAGGTCTGTCACTGTATAACACTGGGGTACAGTACTGGTGGGGACACATCTTCCTCTGTATGACATTGGGTATATAGTACAGTGGTTTATATGAAAGAGGTTTGTGTTATTCATCTTTCAGACTTCAGTATCAGAATCATGTTGTTTAATTGCAGGTACAAACCACCAGCTAGTGATAATAATCCAACCTTGGAGGATCCAACTCCTGATTATATGAACCTACTGGGGATGATCTTCAGCATGTGTGGGCTGATGTTAAAGGTACTGCTTACCCACCCTCTCAGCCTCTCTTCAGTTTCAGTGACTATAACAGAATTATTCAGCCTGATGTTGAGACTTGCAGGGTCAACACAGAAATAGAATAACTAGCTTTGACATTGGTGGTGTCTATTGGTTTTGGGATGTGGGGGATGTTGTGCTGTTGACTGTGCCCGGCAATGGATATATTTCAGGGTCTGACTGCACTGTCTCTCTCTCTAGTTGAAATGGTGTGCCTGGATTGCTGTTTACTGCTCCTTTATCAGCTTTGCAAACTCCCGCAGTTCTGAAGACACAAAACAAATGATGAGTAGCTTCATGTAAGTGAAACATTTTCTTATTAAACTAATTAAGTTCACCTCAAAATATCATAAATGGTTCTCAGTCTGTCGTGTACTTCTAATATCTGCTGAATTCTAGTAAATACCGTAGACTTTTCATGCACAGTACAGGAGGATCCCACAAAAAGCAATTTGAAACGTAAGCAGTACATCTCTGTTAGCATGGTGCTGATTGACACAGAAGTATTGGCCCCCAGAGAATAGAAGGAGCTTCCACTGTTTATCTTACACTAGTGGCCCTGGATGACTTAGAGACTAGATTTCGATTAGCATCTCATGAAAGATTGCATTTCTAACAGTGTGATGCTCCCTCAGCACTGAGCCTCTGACAGTGCGGCACTCCCTCAACACTGACCCTCCGACTGTGCGGAGCTTCCTCAGCACTGACCGTCCGACAATGCGGCGCTCCCTCAGTACAGCTTAACATTTGCAGATAATTTGCTGGTTTTGCAGCTGGGCAATGGAGCTTTAAGGATTGAGGGATGGGTAAGGTGCTTGAGTTACTTGCGTTGGGGGAAGTAGGGAGGGATTTTGTTCCGGTGTGGTGGGGGTGGGGGAGACCATCTTTGTGATATGGTTAGCAATGAGTTCTTGCTGTAATCCCTGACCTTTCACCTCCTTGTTTTTCAGGTTGTCAATTTCAGCAGTGGTGATGTCATACCTGCAAAACCCACAGCCCATGTCACCACCATGGTAACAGCCCAGGCCACATCCATATCACCATGGTAATGGCCCAGGCTATGCCCTATATCACCATGGTAATAATCCAGCACCACCCCCCTTAACACCATAGTAATGACCAAAGCTGCTCCTCCTGTATCACCATGTCAATGATTTAGGCCTCATGCCTAGCCTGACTGTGATAATGGCCCAGACCTGTATTCAGTTCCCTGTTATTGCCATGGTATCAGCTCAAGAACTTCCCCATCTTATATTACCATGGTAATGGGGTGGTCCATCCCTCCCAGAAATGGCTGGCACCATAACTGATCCATGCAGTCCCCTCCCACCACCACCCCTTTTACATGAACCTCTTTGTCCCTCAGTAACCTCGCCCCCGAGTACCCAACGACAATCTCAGAACTCGTGCTTTGCCCTTCCTGGACATTACAATGTATGAAGATCAGGGGAAAGCTGTCAATGGTGAAGAAATAACTTAAATTTCAGAATAAAAAAAGTAATTTATCAGCTATGCAATTTATTTTCCTCTTTTAATTGTGAATATTGATTGAAGCATGTGGAGAAGTTCTAGTCAGGCCTCTGAGACCAGTCTGTGTAAAGTTTGCCAATCTGGGTCTGGCCACAACAATTGAAAAGTGATTCACTATTTTCAACCAGGATCCCAGCACCACACCCGACCCAGTGCCTGGTTGTCCCTTAACATGTCACTTTTATCCAACTTTGCAAGAACTCTCATGACAACTTGATTTAACAAGCAACTCATAACCGAAACAGCACACCAATCTGAAGTACCAGCAGGAGCAAGTTGTCCAATTCATTTTGCAATCCTAATTCATCTGAGTAACTGTTCACCAGGTCTGTTTCCTAAAAGCCGTTTGGCTAATGAATAACACTTTACACAAGAACTGCGTGTTAGATTCTTATTCTCATTGCTGCACTGTTTAAAGATTCTTGCTTCTAGTGAGTGTCTCTTTTTGCAGCAAATAAGGTGTATAAGATCTCACCGAATAAAGAAAATAAATATTTGTGTCTTGGATGCTCTTTTTAGTGTGGCAAAGAATTTTTAATTTATTTCGTTGCTGGAGATTAGAAATAATCAGTCGTCACATCCCTTTCCAGAGTCCAGGTGCTGTTGAATCTGGGGCGAGTTGTGAATAAGCATGAGTGAGGCCTCTCCCAACGCCTCCTGCTGATTCTTTGGCAGAATGAGTGATTGATCATCAGAGCTCACACTGCCCTCCTAGGTTTGGTGAAAGTGGAGGTAGTGGTAGCAAAGAGGAGGAAAACAAAAGGGTGTAATTTCTTCACATAGTAGAAAGTTCTCATTGCTGTCAGTGTCCTGACCAGTCACTATCTATGAATGAGGAAGGCCACTCAACCCATCTTAATATATCATCCAGAGAGATGAACATAGAATATTACAGCGCAGTACAGGCCCTTCGGCCCTCGATGTTGCGCCGACCTGTGAAACCAATCTGAAGCCCATCTAACC